CCTAGACTGACATACCGTCTTCGCTCAGAATCGTTTTTCTTATACAATGATATTGAATCATTGAATTCAAATTTAATAGCATCCATTATACAGTGACCCACTTGTGACCTACTGTACAGCAGAGCGACATCCACTTACCCACCTTTTTTTTTTTTGATGGGTCGTACACAGTTTTTAAAAATTATATTATGTAGAATAATAATATGTATTATAAAAAAAAATTAAATTTAATATTACAATGGATTTATTAAAATAGTTGGGTATCTAAGTATTTAAAAAAAGAAATAATTTATCAATTCTAAAAACGATTAAAATTACGAATAGGTAGCCGATACAACTATTTCGCATTGTCTTTATAATTTTCTGTCCAATGGCTTTCGTTGTCGCACACTCTACGCATAACGAGTAGTTACTAGTACGTTATAATTTATAGTAGGTACTCAAACGTAAATTCATAAATAATTAATTTCGTGAATGAATGAAGAGATTTGTGAAACTACACACTATGCTAAAATTCTTAAACTATTAGGTCAAAAATACTGAAAAAATGTTTATATAATAATCAAAGCATAATCAGTATCTTTTTTATTATTGTTTAAAGTTCTAAAATTTAGAAATTATGTATCAGGTAGTTCTAAATTTATACAATTTATATTTTTATACTTAAGTCTGGAAAAATTAATACAAATTCCCACATACGTTTCCTTAACTGGAAATAAAAAAAAGTTGAGGGTAAAGTACATATGGATACGTTTTCCATGACCATTTATAAAGTTCATTTTTTTACGTTATTTGATTTTAAAAATTTTAAATGTACAAGTTATAATCATTAAAAATTAGTCAAACAATTTTAATAAGTTGTTAATTATTCAGACCATTTTAGTATATTATTCAAAAAAAACTAATGTTTGGAATTTGAAAAATTCAAAGTTTCTCATGATATATTGTACTTAATATAGGTATCACTAATTAACAAATACCAATTACGCGTTGCACAATTTTTTTTCATAAGCTATTGAAGTTTAAATTTTTACAGTATTCGTCAGATTAATTAAAATTCTCAAATTATTTTTTAGTTAAAAATGCATAAAATGTTTATAGTTTAAACTTGAAAAATATTTAGCTTGCATTTTATTTTTCACGAGGTGCAGGTCTTACAGTAACCTAGAAAAAACAAAATTACCTATATATGTAATATATTTTTTTTTTATGTTCTAATTTGGACAAAATTGGATATTTAAACAAACAATAATTATTCAACTGGTCTAAGTTGCGTTAGCGGTATATTGTCTTATACGGTAATAACAATAATACGTATGATATACTTTTATAATAGTTAATAATATATTAAAATACAAGCTATGTTTATGAAGGGGCTTAAATCTTTTAAGTGTATAGTATAATAAATTATTAATATTTATTATATATTAATACAAAGAAATTTAAGAAATATTCAGATAAGTCTTTAGTTATTCCCTTCTTTTATATACCGTATTGCTAATAAAAAAATATAATACTAGTATAGTATTATAAATAGGTGATAAAAATATACCTACTTAGAAACAGAGACAGACAATGTGTCTCCGTTCAGAATCGTTTTTCGTATGCAATTATTGAGTTCAAATTTAACATATCTATTATAGTGACCTACTCTATGACGAGATTCACTCGAAACCTACTATATAGCAGAGCGACTTTCCCAGTTTTTTTTCAACAATAAAGGCACAAAAAATATTATGAATTATTATGATATTTTTTAGTTTTCGTTTAATATAATGTATCTTAGTATCTGCAGCTATAGTTTTCAGTATAATATAATTTATAATATTTAATAAAATAATTTTGGAAATTACCGTTTACCATTTTGACAATCGATACTACATATAGGCTATGATGATAAATGATAATGAACTGAGTATCAGAAAAGAGTCAAAACAATAAGATACATAAGATTAAAATTAATTGTTTAGGTTAGTTTCGAAAAATCAGTCATTACAATAAAGCAAATCAGGCAATATCTAATGATTTACCAATTTTTTTAAATCGCATAAATCATCGATACGTTTGAATTGGCTGCATGTATTCATTCTGAATAATCCAGCTTTTAAGAAATTAAATCTATTTTATCAGAAGAATGACGGCAGCTGTCGATAACAAATAAAACTTATTATTCAAACCTTACTTACGAATAAAGAAACAGTAGGTTGTTACAACTCACATTTTTATTTTACGAGATACACATCTCGGTTTCCCAATAACCATGTTATAACAAGGATAATTTTTTTATTGTATTATATTTTCCGATATTATAAAATGTTTAACATGTTTGAGGTGGTTAATGGAGTGGAATGAAGAAAAAGTTCTATGATTTAATATTAAAATCACCCATACATACAACTTTTCTAATAGGTAACATTTTTTAAGTACCTATATAAAAATGCATACAAATTCTTAAAATATTCATCAGCATACTGAAATCAAATAAATTGAACAAACATTATTCGGATTCATAATTATTTTTTTTTTAAACCGTATGATAGTATATGTATACCTAGTCGATTATTTTTTTTAATTTTTATTATTTTTATTATTTAATATACATATATATACAATAGGTATATAATGAACAGATGTACAAGCATTGTCCGTTTGTATGTATGTTACAGTGTAATACTAATCTAAACTCTACTAAAAACATTAAAAAAAAAAATTATTTATATTCTTGTATTTTGCAATTTAATTTCACAATTATAATTAATTAAATTTAATAAAAGCTGAAAGGACGCCAATGTTGAAAATAAGAAATTAATAGTAATAATAATCAAGCCTGGGCATAAACGCGTTAAAAAGTTAAAAGTTAAGTTAAAAGTTAAGTTAATTTTAACTTTTAACTTAACTTTTTGAAATTTAATTTTCATTAACTTAATTTTTAACTTAACTTATTTTAATTGATATAAACTTAATAAATAACGAGTTACTTTTAATCAAATGCAAGTTAAGTAAATTTATAAATAATTAAATAATAAATATAATAAAAAAAAATTATTATTGATATTACATAACATTTATTAGAATAGGAAATTACAAATATAGTTAAATTAATTTCTCGTTCCGTTAACCAGAATTCTTCAAAAAAAATAATTCGATTAAACACATATAGATATAGCAATATGCAATAGCCAATAGCCAATTATATTATAACATAGAGGTGTATCGTATATATAAAGATATACCGTACCATACAGCGGCATACGGGCATATTGTAATAATAATAATTAATAAATACTAATAACTAATAAGTAATATGATAAACCTATTATCTTATTATTTTGATATAGATACAGATCAAAAATGTACAATTCTGAAGAACATAATGTAAAATATTTTCGGCATAAATAGGTTATTTTTAAATTAAAACTAATTGGGTTGTGCCCATGTACATTTATATTTCAAATGTTTATATTTATAAACAGTCAATATTGTCAGTAGACAAAATATTCATAGCCCACATGGGTTCACTTTTCGTTCTCGGCTCTATCAGCACGCAACACACGATTTCGGATTTACAATACCGCGTTTCAGTGATTTGCGTGAATTGTGTACCTACTATATAATATTTATGGGTAGGTAGAATTATTCTATTAATTCAGTACCTACCTATGTATAGAAAAGCTATTGGCTATTTCATGTGTCCAATAATATTTATGATTTTTATTATTTTAAACCATATTACTGGGTGTTTATATAGATACAGTAGAACTTCCATGTAACGGTCACCAAAGGGTCTGTAAATAATGACCGCTATTTAGAGGTGACCGTCCTACAGATGTAGGATAACACTCGACGGGACCAAAAAAATTGACCATTACATAGAGGTGACCGTTTACGGAAGTTTTACTGTATTATGAAAAAAAAAAAATTAACTTAACTTAACTTAAGTTAATAAGTTAATTGAAAATGTTCATATAACTTTTAACTTAACTGAGTTAAAAAAAAAATTAGGTTAACTGTTAACTTTAAACTTTTTAAAATGTTTTCCATTAACTTAACTTAACTCAGTTAAAAATTTTCATTAACTTGCCCAGGCTTGATAATAATATTGTTTAACGTGGATGGAATTTCTTCACTGAACATTATTTTTATCAAATGTAAGTGTGTAATAATTTAATGAATATTATTAAACATTTTAAACCCATAAACTTTGTAAAATCAATCATCGTTTTGGGTTGATTACCTACTCGTGATTCGTGATTCTGTGTACCCATAGTTTATTATTTTTAATTTGCAAACGATTATAAACGAGGTATGGATCATGTTTTACCAAAGTTATAAATAGTTATACTAATATAATTAGTTATAAATTATGCATGGTTTGGAAAGGAAAAATTATCGGTGTGATAACAACATAATATTACAATGACACATAATTAGATTAATAAAATATACTATACTATATTTTTCAATCGGAAGCAATAATAGGGTCTGCAGTAACCGGATTTACAAACAATAAGAACATTAAATATAATGTATTTACAATCATTCGTGTTTCGTAATAATAAAATAATAATAATAATAAATAGTCGAAATAAATAAATGTGGTTCCTTTGCGGTACAATTGACGTGCGGAAGATGCAGCTGCTGCGATGGGATGACACCAGCCCACACTCTCTCTCACACACACACGAGTCGCGATGCAAGTCGTGTCAGCGTATTCGGAAAACGTCTAAAACAGATGTAAAAAACACGATCTTGAATATAAAAAAGTTATAAATTGCAATCATTACAATGTTGCAATACTACACTTCGCATTCGTTATTAGCATTAAGTTATAATATCAAAAAGTTGTTTGCAATAATTATCATATCGCAATACATAATATCCGCACCGCGAGTGTACTAAAACAGTAAAACGACATATCCGTCGTCACAAGTGAAGAACGAATGATGAACGAATAAGGGCACGGGGGGGTAGGGTATGTATTTATCGTTAAATGATCGTACCTATCTGACTTGGTTGGAACCGTAGGCCAACTGTTGAGCGTGTTCTTGGACGCTCCTGGCGTAGTGCGCTGGTGGGGCGCCGTAGATTCCGGCGTCGTGGGTGGTCAGAGATGGTGGTGACTCGGAAGCCTTCTTCACCAGCTGGAAGATGGCCAGACCGATGGATATGACGAACGAGAAGAACGACAGTTGCAGAGCGTTCCACGCCTTCAAGCCCAACACGCCGATGGCGAGCGGGATCAGTGTGAGTGCCTTGAGCATGACGAACACCATGATGGGCATGAGGATCTTCTTGAGCTTATGGCGTTTGCCTGGAACGAGATGGGTGGGCGCGTGGTGAGTACGGAAGTGTAACGTAAAATCGCGGTTATTGGATCGGTGGTCGTATACGACTGCAGTTGTACTCACTTCTTGGCTCGGCGGAGCTGGGAAGTCTCAGGGTCAGACCGAGTTCGTTCTCTTCCAAGTTCCTGGGCGACAGGGTGACGGTGGCGCCTCCGAGTTCCACGGACACGTCACGCTTCTCGATGAGCTCCTGCAGTTGTTCAGTGATTCCCAGATCTTCTCCGTTGTTGCCATCCTGTAAGTAGATGGGGGCGATAAAAAAAAAAAAAAATAAAAATGATAACAATTAAGAACGTCGTGTCGGTCCATCGTGCCCGTAAACGTGCGATGCCGTCGTTGTCCTAGGTAAGTATACCTGTAGCTGTCTGTCGTTGGTCAGCGGCGATCCGTAAGTGACGGCTATCAGTGCGGCGGCGGACAGGAGCAAACACGAGAAACGAGCCATGGCGTGGGTGTGCTTACAGTTTGTGTTTGTAAGTATGTGCGACTACCGACTGTGGTGGTGCGAGTGTGGTGTCTGGTCGTCCGCGTCCTTGGGTTATATACCAGGAACCCCGTGTCCGAAAACCGTAGCCAGAGTTAGGGGGGGGGGGGAGATACGTACGGACGCGTATAGGATGTCCCCCGTTTAATCACGTTTTCGACAGCTATAGCTGTCCGGAGCGCGGCTGAATATTAATCGGGGCCCCGATGTACATATGTGTGTCTGGTGAAATTACTATCGACGATAGGTCACGAGAACGTATAATAATATTATATTGGACTGTCGCTGTTATAATTATTATGTGTGGCGTGTATACTACCTACCTATAGCAGGTATGTTGTGGATTTTCGCGAGTAGTTATTTATTTTTTTACGTGTATAATATTGTGTCCCGTAGCCACTTAGTGAAGACGTTCATTTTTCGGATATTTGACCTTTTCACGAAATGGAAACCATACGATACATAACGCGAAATATGAACGAAAAATGTTACACTCGCTTATTTTCTTTTCCCTATGCACTACAAATTCAATTCTGTTTTTAGGATTTTGGTCACTAGACACTTCAATATATCAATCGGTACGTTGACATTTGACATAGAACACATCTAAATCCCTATGTCACGCATATTGGGTTGGACAAAATAAACAGCAGAAAATCGTCCCATTATTAACAGCTCTTAATCGTTTTGTGGAAATAATTGTATCTAAGGCGATAAAATAATAATATTTTATTAATTAATTTGTATAAAAATATCAACATATTGAATTAAAAATATCAACGTTACATTAAAAAATAAATTGGGCAAGTGGGTACTGCTCTGCTGTACATTAGGTGTCGTGTGGGTCACTGTGTAATATATATGTTAAAATTGAATTCAATTGATAAATCATTACATATAAATAACCGGCAAAATACGATTGAGAACGCTTGATATTTATTCTTTTCCAACGTTGCCAAATTTAATCAAACAATAATTTGAGCACGATAATCTGTTGATAATCATTTAGCAACATAATGTGTAATTAAAATTCTAATTGTTTCAATTGAAGAAGAAACTATATTGAAAATAGCTACGATAGAACAGGATCAAGTCACTTAGGATAATACTATGTCTATGATCTATATGTTAATAGGTTAAGTAGATTTGGAAGCTTAGATGATTTGAAAATGTTAGAAATTACTAATAAGTAATAACTATTGATCTATCAATATAAATAATTTAAGTATAAGAATACTCAGAATACTATACATATAAAATTACATAGTTTATATTTTTGTAAAACCATATTTAAAGATTATTATTAAAAACGATTCTAAAGCTAAGATTGTGTGTCAGCCTATATAATATATTAGTATATTACTAATTACATTTTATGATACTATTGCTATTAAAGCAATTTATTTTATTATTAATGTTACACTTATACATTACAGGGTGAATTAACTTTTTTCCAAAATATTGCATTTTAAAATGCCTTTATGTGTGAAGTGTGTTTAAAATATGGTTAATATACTTTCAAGTACTCGTGAATAATATTTTTAAATTACAACAAAATAACTAAAATTGTTATTATTCGTTTAAATATGTCGTATAAATTTGAACTTTAAATATCTGTAAAAAAAACTCTTCAAACTTTTTTTTGGTTACAGCATGAACTGCTTAAAATAAACTCCCATTTTAAATTTCCAATCCTTACCTATAAAAATTGAAAATTTTACACATTTTTAACTACAAAATAAATTGCAAATTTTCATGATTTTTATAAATGTTGTCAACTTTTTAATTTTAATTGATTATGGAAAAAATTCTGCATATTATGTATATTGTTTAATATTTTAGTTAATTTACAGGTGAATTGGACATATCCAATCTCCTAAAATTTGAAATTCATAACACTCATAAAAACATTTTGTGACATTCCGGAAAACTTTTTTTTTCTTAGAGATGGATAAATTATAATGAGGGTTAGATATAAAAAGAAAAATATTATTATGTTCGTGATTTTGACAAATGTTATCAAAATTCTTCTTCAGACGCTCGTAACAATGCATTGTGAAGTTATGCTCAACGTTTTTTTAATTACACAAATTTTGAACATTTTAATCAATAATCGTGTAGGGAAAATTATTGGTCGTTTGTGTTATACGAGGCAAAGTGAAAGACCCAATCGTGAACAATATTTAATAATATCAAATTTGAGGGTTAGATTTGTAAGAAAAAGAATTTTTTCATATTTTACGAAATATTCGATTTTTTACTATAGATGTTCCACTATGTGGCTATCTGTGTTATAATTATAATATGTTGTGCACATTTGTGGACATCGGGGCTGACTTAATTGCATGTGTAGATACATAATATCGAAGGTGTAAAACACAAAAATATGCAGCATACATTCCACCGACAATAAGCGAGGTACTATACGTATTACCTGTAGCGGTTCTAGAAAATATTTCTGGTGGTTTCTGGTAGCAAGTTGTATCTTGTTGATACTTTTTTGGGAGTAGTGTAAGAATTAACAAATTCCGAGTATTTTCAAAATCATCGTATAAAACAAAAACAAAACTACAGGAATAAAATGTACCCACTCAAGTTGCAGTTTTCAACCACACCGATTTTGTATTTTGTTTGTAAGTCGCTTTCCGACATGTTTCGTTTATTCACGAACTATATATACTTAAATTTATAACCGTAGAAACTTGACTTCTTCTTGAAATATTTATTTATCATTTTATAGACAATATGATATTATATTTTTCAAAATATTTTGCCTCAGTTTTAAATATTTATAGAGGTTTGATATTTTCAATATTGACTTTTAATGTTATAAGTTATAACTTATGAGATAGCAACAATAATATTAAATATATGCAATTATACTTTTGAAAAAAATAGTGCTATAATATTATAATAAGATTATAATAAAGATTTAATTACAGTGTTTTATTTTAATTACTATTCATTGTAAAGTTTTGGTTAGTAAAATAAGCTATGAAATTATTATAAAAAAGGTCTAAAGAATCTAAGAGAGTATGAGACATATTGCCTTATTCAAAACAAGGATAATTGGTTTTGTGAGTATATTATAAGTTTGTACACATTTGTAAGTAATTTTTATTTTTTACCTAAGTAAGTGGTTTTACATCTCTAAAATTTAGATTGAAAATAAAGTACACTATTTTTTAGGGAGCATAATATATTTTAATTTTACATCCTTTTTGGAAAATTAAAAATGATATAATTATTTTTTATATGCTATTGTTTAATATAAACTCTAAATTACCAAGCTAATATGTTTGTAATGATTAATTTGGGACTCAGTTTAAATAGTAAATCAATTTAATGAAACAACACTTCCAATATTGAATAATAACTGTTATAATTAATAATTATAGAGGATGAAAAATTCTTTGAACACGCTGTACTGTTAGGGTGTAAATAGTGTAATTGAAAATAAGTTAAACAAACATAATAACAATTTAAATAGTATATTCAATTAAATACATAATAAACTTTTTTTAAGAAAATGAAATCTTAAAAATAAGGTACATAAGCTATAAGGTATTATAATGTTCTTTATAAATAATACTATAAGTTTATAATAATAAAGTAATATACAAAAACTCAACTTTAATACGACAAAAGTAATGTTGGATCGTACCTACATTGTTTTACACAATTTTATTGAATGCAATTTCTTTGTACTATTAGCAAATAATATATAACCAATAGAATTATGACTTATAATTATAATACTACAATTGTATCCAATTTCCAAGTCGAAACTCGTATAAATGTAACGATAGATAATTTTTATAATCACCAACATGACTTATTGGAAATGTGTTGATGTTATTTGTTTAAAATAATAATTCACAATTAAATGATATCACTTATTAGTTTATATTATTGTTCATTCAGTTTATACACAGGCCATTGACTTAAAGTAGGCATCATAATTTTAATATTTTAATAGGAAATTAATATATCAGTAATTTGTTTATACTTTATATCATAGATCTGTTTTGAAAATGAAGGAAACCATACAATATAATATACTTATCAAAAATAAAAGTTTTTTTAATGTATATAATTAAAAGTTACGAACTCGTCAAATATAATGCTATACTATAATTGGGAAGTTACAAATACTATGTTCAAAATAACATTAGAAAATAGTCGAGTTCAAAAAAGAAATTTATAACTATACTTATTCGTTTTTAGATAATTCTGTGCTATATTCTATATGGACACATAATAATTACCGATTGTCTCAAGAGAAAATATAGAAAGGGTTTGACGGAAGTTCTAAATTGAATTATTAATTGACGAACATAGAGTTAGGGCCAATTTCGATTGTGCAGTTGTGAATATTGATCAGCGAAAATGCGACAATGTAATATCATCACGATTGCCATACATACCTACGAGTAGCTTCATCCTGTAACACTAAATTATATTTCTACAAATTATATTAATTGATTTCCCTTTTCCGTAGAGTCCGAGCGATCATTATTTTTAATTTATTATTTTATTTTAAGTTAATTTTTTAACTTGAGTCGCCTAAGCTTTATGTCTTGATCCCACGAGGTGGGCTTTGCAGCTTAAAAACATTTAGTTGTAACTATACCATTCAACAGTTATTACACTTTCGTTATCAGATTTAGTTGGAACTTGGCCAAATATTTGTCTGTTTTCCTATCGACTCTAAATCGAATACGTTAGTTTATTTTTACTGTCGAATTCCTTTATATTTTTTCTATGCACTGTATAATTGTACCTAATAAATCATACATTTAATCTGCATATTAAAATGCTTAATGTCTGAGTACACACCTACTATGTATGTTTATTTTGTCTAACAATTTGAAACTCTTTAAGATCTATTTTACCAATTCTACTAAAAATATTATTACAAATTTAATTTATGATTTTTATAAATGTTTAAAATTTGGTGCTATTTAAATGTAGTGAGTAAATATAAATAGTTTGTAAGGTAATGATTTATTAAAAATAATATTTCTTAAATATGTTAAGTGGTGACCTACCAATATTTAACTTGAACATTTCGTTTACCAATTCAACGAGAGTGATAATACCATAAGTCATGTATAGACGTATAGTGTATTGGGTTTAGTTATTTTATAATTTAAAATCTGTATAAAGTGTTATATACTTAATACCTACTTATATACATCAATCTCAAATTAATTATGATGAGGATAATTTGAAAAACTATTGTATGGGTACTCGGGTCTTGGAGTACTTCGTGAATATTTACAAATAAAAAAAAAACACGAACAGGATACAAAGACTGCGCTATTGTTATTGACACTATTGAACGATTTACTCACCAATAGTAACCATAAAAATGTTTACAAAAAAAAAAAAAAATTAAATACCACACTGTGTAATATGCACTTCAAGTAAAATGTAACTTTCATTGATACCTACTCCCACAAAACGATAGTCAAAATTAATATTATAATAATATGGTGAATAAAATGTCCAATGAAAAGACAATATTATAAAATGTCTCATGAAGAGACGCACATTAATAATTAGGACGTCGTGGTGTATTAAAGCAGTGGAGTTTGCAGTAACGTTGAAATACCTTCTTGTTTAATTTCGTCTCCGTACAGCTGATAGCTTTTCTGGAGTACATAATATTAGCAGTATGCATTAACTAATAATTTACTATAAATATTCATTTGTTGTTTTTGAATGACGATAATTTATTATTTCAATACATTTCAGTAGGTGTATTATTATGTTTTATTATTAGTACGACGGTGGCTTCAATAGTACATATTTTTCTAGTATTCTAGTTTTGAGTCGTGTCAATTAAAAGACAGAATATAGTTTTTAATTATTACCACATTGCACACGCGACACAGTCGTAAAAGAATTACGCAAAACTTGATTTCAATGTATGCGTTTGGGTCTTCCGACAAATATTATACTCAGTATATAGCATGTGTCCAACTGCACAGTTAAATAAGGATTTGTGCGTCGTGGAATTCGTGCTCATTATTTTTATCAGCCCTTCCTCCCCTCTGAAGAAAGGGCCTGGGCCTGGGATAGTATAGTTTTATTGTCGTTTTTTGAATCATGCAATTCGTGCCAAATAAATAGATTTTAAACAAGACTGAGAAATTTAATGAGGGATTTTTGTTTCTACTTCAATAATTTAATCAAAACAAACTATTTAAAATAACGTGTACTTAAATAAATATAATTTTAATATAGTTGGAATGGTACCAGCTAAAGTAAATCACATTTAACCATGAAAACTTGACAAGTTGGTAATGATTTGTAAAAATAAAGACGGACTACATGGTTTTTTTTACAAGTTATTTATAAAGAATAATTCAAATTAAATAATACGTTTCTACGAGTATAATATACGAATTAATCCTTTGATATACCTTCATACTTTTATGACAATTAATTTTAAGTGCACTATACTACTATAGTTATTATAGTTATACAAGGTGTACTAGAATGACCTGACAAATGAAATAAGTTTTACAGTTCTAACCATAGATATATACAACAACTAGATATCCGTCATTATACTATAGTTGACAGTTGTGACCAATATTGAAATCGGCCGCCATTTACAAAGCAGGCAATGTTTACATTTATTTATATACATATATATTTATCTATACATATATACTATGATAATGTTATCTTGTAAACATTGCCTGCTTTGTAAATGGCGGCCGATTTCGAAGAAAAGAAAGAGGCGGCTATCTAGTTGTTGTATATATCTATGGTTCTAATAATATTAAAATTTTTTTATAAACACATATAACTATAGCTATCCTGCCACGACATTGTCCGTGACAAAGATATGTTTTATTAAAAAATATATTTGTCAAAAAATGTGTATGCCATATTTCTACTAATAAAATTATAATAGTAGGTAATGCAATAGATATAACCAATAGCAACCATTTAAATCAACAAAAATAATTTTCATATTTCGTGAGCCAAAAAAAAATGCATGTATGATCTACCCTTTAGCCACATAAATAGGGGTTGAAATAATGTTAGGTTATATCTCTGCATCACACTCTTTAATTAAAAAAAAAATCAAGATAATCTTAAGAGTGGTTCCTGAAAACGTGCGTCACAACGATTTTTTTTTTTTTAAATAAATAATGTATAGACGTATACAATTTTTTTGGTAACATTAAAATAGAAAATTGTACCTACCTACATCTAATTTTTACAAAAAAGTTTGTTTAAGACAAGTAGTTTAATGTTGGCAATTTTTTTAAATATCAATGTTTTTTGGAGTAAATTAATTCGAAACGATAAAAATATTCTTTTTGGAATTGTCAGACCTACTTAAATATTATATATTAAATTATTTATTATCCATATAGTTTTCATAATTATTTCATACTTTTAACTAATATACATTTTTTATTTTTCATTTGTCGATTATCTCTCTTACATATTATATTTTAATAATGCATTTTTAAATATATAACATACTATTATTATGTACAATAATATTACATTTAAATATCCATAATTGGCCTTGATAATATATCGAAAATGCATTCTTAGGACATCGTTCCAATGGTTTATTTTTTTCTCTAAATTACGCCTATCCAACCTTAATATATTTAATAGCTGTATAAGCCTCATTATTTATAATATACTATGTCAGTGTTTAAGTTTCACATAGACATATCAAATATACAATTAATTACTGCATAAATTGTAACTATAAAAAAGTCAAAAGGACGAAAGTGCAAACTATATTTTACAGAACATTCGTAATAATCAATCGTCTTGCTTTGAATTATCTACCTCTGCTCAAAATAATATTTGGCATTATATATTGGAAATGATAAAGATAATTCGTCGTCTATGGAAAATATCTTACTATTGCCTACTTACTATCTTACTGATATTATATATTTTATACCTTTACTTTTTAGTACATTATGTTAAGATAGAAGGTTTAAGTACTTATTTTTGATGTAAAATATCTAAAACTATAAATACTAGTTTAAAGTATCACGCCTATAATCAATTTATAATATTATGTGTCATAATATGCTACGTTATCTATAATACGACCATTGGTGTATGCGTTTTTTCGTCATGAAAAAATGGTATGTGCTGTACGCATGATACGCATACCTAAACTGAAAACAATACTCTATTATTTCACCAAGAATCTACAGTATATAGTATATCTATATGGAAATAATAGTCTGTGATTCTTTTAACCATTATGAGTATTACCTATTTAAGTTTACCGATATATTAGGTGTAAGGGGAAATTCGATGATAATTAATTTGTTTCATAAAAATATTATTAACATAACATCGTATTTGGCGTAATACCATTCGACTCAAATGTTTGCGATTTCAATAAAACTCAATCGTACATAAAAAAAAAATGTTAGATTTTAATCGTCGTTTTCTTTTATCCAAACAATAAAAATAATAAATAAATAAATAATTAAATTACAAACGCAAATTAAATATAAAAATAAAATCAATAAACAACACACAATGTAACATTATGTCTGCGTGAGCTCGATCGTAACAATCAGAGGCTGTGATGCATCACTGTTCGGGCTGTTGCGCACTGTAAGCCCTGGCGTGAGCGTATCCGTCGTGGTGGTGAGTGTGCACCGGCGAGGGGTAGTGCAATATTTCCACGCCGACCACTTTGGGCTTGGTGAACCTGTAGATGACCATTGCGGCGGACAGGACCAGTGACAGCAGACCCAAGGTTAGGGCCTTCCACGTCTTCAGCGCGATCAGGGCGATGGCGATCGGGATCAGTACGGTGGTCTTGAACTTCAGGCCCAAGAGGAACGGGATGACTATTTTGCGGACGAAACCGCGGCCTGGAAAATTGGTCAAATTTTTGATTTTTTTTAATTTCAATTCGGTTTGTTCTGTTATTCGTTACGGAAAACAAAACAATAGCATCGTATTATCATAACATCGCACATTATTATATTGCAAATATTTTTTTCTATAAAGTATTCGAATACATGTTTTCCGAATAGGTAGGTAGGTAGGTAGGTAGGTTTTCCTATGTTTCTTGTTCATCGAGGTGGAAAATACTTTATATCTCAACGCTGATAATAATATTATGGTATGAAATCGAAAAATATAAAAGTTTAGATCTGTGTAAATAAATCGTACCTCAAAACGTGGTTTTTAATATTACTCGATTTATTATATGATTGAAAAACGCGACGTTTAATTCGATCCTGTCAAAATGTCGGTAATCTAACTTTTAAATATAAATAAGTTTTATAAGTAGTACTGAATAAGTATATTTTGTTTTGTTCCCCCATAATTTGTATAATTAATACATTTTATTTCAAAAGATATCGGAAAAGTTAGAAGTTACAATTCAGCAATATGAACTAGACGGGGCGAGTAAAATTGAGATTGATGACAATCGTGAGCATACAATTTTAAAAACAATATTTCTAATATTTTCATGATAAAGTATTCGAATACTTGTTGTGCTTTTAGTTATTCAACCAATATTTACGCATTACTTCATAATAATAAAATTATATAGGCTCACGAGTCTTACTTCGGCCTTGTTGGGCGACGGCGGAGTGGCCTTGGTCGACCAGTGGCATTTTCACTTGTCCAACGGACGATCCAAGTTCCTCGGGAAGGCTGACATGGAGCTCGTGGGTGCTCAAGAAGTCGTCGATTCTGTCCAACATCCGGAGGGCCGAGTTACCGTCGACGGCCTTCTTATATTCCTCACCGTTGGGAATCTGCGATATAGTGTGCATAATTTGATATTAATATAATTTACTATCGACCACGATACGTCCGGTAAGCACGACCACGCAGTAAAACGTGGTAAGCGGACGACGATTCGAATTCGTGTTATGTGTTTTTAATAAAACTATCTTACCGAGTTGGCGACTTGATCTTCGTCATTGCTGTCGTGGGTGCGTTTCAGCGACAAGTCCCTGGTCAGCCTGAGCTCGGCCTTCTCCGCGGTCTGGCCGATGAACTTGAGAAGTTTGGGCTTGGCGCACGTCCAATCTGTACCGCAGTCGTCCAACAGTTTTCCGCCGAATTCCAGTGCTGTTTCCGTCGCCTACACACAACATAATAATAATATTATATTAATATAGGTACACAAAGCGACAAAAATATTAAAAATTAATAATTATTATGGCGGTCGATTTTTTTTTGCGATAATTATCACATTATTTACCTGAGCGGCGGCGAACAGCGACAGTGCAGCGGCGCAACATAACACGGAAAGACGATGCATCGTGGAGGAGGTTGATCGTACGAATGAACGCTCTGGACATGCTGTCCCGTGCTTATAATGTGATGGGTCGGCTGAATTATCGATCGCCACCTGAATGCCTAATCGTATACCACCGAGGAGGCCACCGCTGCAGAATGCGGACGACACCCTTTCTACTTTCTTCGGCCGAAATTTTCTCAAATCACGTGCGGCGAAGATTGTATTTAGTACTTACCTACTATATTATACGTCGATGATCCTTTTTTGGTTTCGATTATTGGAACGCCCGTGAACGTGTACCGGCCACCGGTCAAAATATCACCGAAAAATATCTCATGTGCACTGTACGCAATAGTACAATATATGCCAATATAATAGGATATATCGGAATTATGCAAATATATAATATCACAATTGATTGTTCCGAAATATTATTCAACTATGTGACGAATAGAATTGGGGCCTGTGTTTTTTTTTTATTATATGCTGTTTCGATATAAAAATAATATACAATGTTATAAAAGAAACGTTAAAAAATTTTAGTTTAAGTCATTCACTTTTGTTTAAAACATTAGAAAAACAAAAAAGCTGTCCTGAAAAGTTAGAAAAACGAAAAAAGTTCGTTTTGAATTGAAACCATCAAACCAAAAACAGAACTAATGGTAAGCAATTTTAACACCTGCCAAATTAAATTATATTATATACTTAAAACATTTTGTTTTTAACTCATTTAATTAAGCAGACATTGATCTTTGAGTAAAAAAACATAAACAATTACCGAAAACTCGTTATTATTATTAGTACATAAATACATCTATTATAATTATTAGGTACCCAAAATATAATAATCATGAAAACTTGACAACTTGACGAATATTAATTCATTCCTGGACCTTTTATCGTCAGATTTTTTTTTAGTTGTACCTACATAGTATTATAATTCAAAAAATCTTGTTGGGGAAAATTGTAATGTTAATATATTTTATATTTTTATAAGGATTCTTTCAAATACTTTCGAGTAATGTGCATTTAATTAGTTCACGTACAATATTGGCATATTCTGTACTAAACCATGTGTGTACTCTATAAATATTTTTTAATTCTGTTGCGGGACATGAAACTAGGCTATTGGATCATCAATCTCCCGCTAATAGAATCCTAAAATATATATGTACAGGGTACTGAGTAATGTAGGTAAGTGATAGAGTATAGAGTGTATCCAGTTTTCGCGTATACACGGTATAATATAATATGAAAACAATGGTTTCAATAAATATATTTGTAATATAAAAATATACTTTTTGATTTGCATTTAAACATTTTTTTTTGTGCTGACACCATGCACCTACATAAGGGCTCTGAATTTTTATTAGCCCCGGGCGTCAAATTTCCTAGATCTGCTACTGCCGATACATGTACCTACTAATGTATTATACCTAAACCTGAAACTCAGCACACTAAATACAGATAATTTTAACAATAATGTGATATGCCTACACAAAGTGATTTATTGAACATGTTGCTCATCCTCCTTTTATAGTTTTATCCTTTAATTATGCATTTATTCTCATCATTTTGAATTTTGAAATTGTGTGTGTACCTAGGTGGTATATATGGTATACTGAAAGACCATATTTTCAATTTGTACTTCGATTTTTATAGGAATTTCCTATGGCGTCTGTGTTTTTTTTTAAGTTTATGTATAGAACAATGTTTACTATTAACTATTACGCATGTTATTATTAGTTTATTAATTATTAACTTCAAGTAGGTAGATATTAATACAAATAACAATTCTTAATAATGGTTTTACATCTATACATATAAAAATGAATTGCTGTTCGTTTGTCTCGCTAAAACTCAAACTCGAGAACGACCTGGTCGATTAGGCTCAAATTCTTTTAAGATGTTCGTAATTGCCAGGAGCAGATTTATACAAAAGAAAATTTTAGGAAAATCAACCGGAAAAGTAAAAAATCTGAATGAATAAAATACAACAGTGACGCAACAGTGTACTATAATTTATATTGGTTGCTATCAGGCACGGCACTAGAATTTTTTTCCAGGGGGGGCAGAGTGGGGCAAATATTTTTTTTACATGGGCTAAAATTGTTTCAACAAATGCTGAGGTTATTTAAATGAAATATTAATATTTTCGTATCATATAACATAATATAGCTATTAGCTATATAGTACATACGTTTTAATCGTTTTATATTGTATGCTCTAAACGTCTAAACATATAATATTTACAAACTTTTGAATAGTTAAAAATGTTTTAAGAATAATATCAAATATTTTTTTTGTACCTTATGTAATATGTAAGAAAATGTTTAATCACAGACCTAAGACCTTCAACAACTATATTCATAATGATAATATGATATACAAAAATAATAATTTCTTTATGAGCTAAATATTGATTTTTTATAGAATATCTGTTTATGCACCATACAGTAAATGATTGAAAATCTTTTAATATTGAAAAAGTTAACAAAAATGTATACAATTGCACTGATATCAGTAGGAATACAATTTGTTTTAAATAAAAACTTTTGATTACCTACCTTATATTTAACTAGTACATTTTAAATTTTTAATTCAATACATTTTTAAATTGGTATTTGCATAGTAGTGTATGTATTGACTATTGAAGTACCTACTTTATATTTTTTGTTAAATGTTGGAGGTTAAAATAGTTCATATATATACATTAAAACATAGATACTTTAAGAAATCTTTTTTTATTAATTATCAAGTAATATGTGAACTAATTACCATGACAAATAAGATTATAAAAAGGTGGGTAAGTGGATGTCGCTCTGCTGTACAGTAGGTTACAAGTTGGTCACTGTATAATGGATGCTATTAAATTTGAATTCAATGATATAATATCATTGTATAAGAAAAACGATTCTGAGCGAAGACGGTATGTCAGTCTAGGTTTAAGACAAATTATATACATATCTATGGTATTTAAAAAAAAATTGACTTATAATAAATTCCAAATTAATCATATCACATTATCACAATATCCATTAGGTACTTATAACATGTTATACATCAACATCAATAACATACCCTGATACTATCATAGGTATATAATAGTACACTTTAGAAGTTTCAAGTAGGTACCCACGAATAATATTATATAATCACAACAAAATAACTAGGTTTTTAATATGTAATTTCGTCCAAATTTGAACATAAAATGACTATAAAAATAAACAGTGATTGTATATTTTTTAGATTTTTCGGTAAGAGAATTAATTACTTACGTGGAATCTTGTTTTTCATTTTCAATCCTTAGCTATAAAAACTGAACATTTTATAATTTATTAATTACGATGATTAATCATTTTCGAGATTTTGAAAAATTCTGTCAAAATTCGATGTTTAAATGCTTATAAAAAAAAATTGTGCCTATGTATTTTTAATATTTTTCAACTGATATTGTAACAATATATCAGGAGCCTTGTATTAAATTTTTACACTTTTTGGCCCAACAGATAAAACTTTATTGATATTCATAGAAAAAAAAACTAAAAAAATTGAAAAATGAAAATATCCATAAACAACTCAAAAAGAGTCAAAATATTTTCAAAATTGTATGGTGTATAGGAAATGCTAATATAAACATTCAGTGAAATTTTCATGTATCTATAGTTATTCGTTTATGAATAACAACAAAATAAGGAAATCGCTACATGAGAAATCGAGTGAACATCCAATGTTGTAAAAATTTGAATTTCAAACGCTCATAAAAATTTAATTTGACTGTCCGGTAGAGATTTTTTTATTGATAAAGGTAGACAAACTTATGAGTAATCTTGTATTACATTTTCAAATCTTAGATTTAAAAAGAAAAATTTTTACGAATTCTTACCTCAAAATAATTTGCTAATTTTCGTGATTTTTCCATATTTTGTCAATTTTTGAACTTTAAATGCTTATAAAAAAAACTGTGACTAACGATTTTTAATATTTTTCATCTGCCTTTGAAACAATATACTAGGAGCCTTCTATTAAATTTTCAAGTTTTTTTAACCTACAAATAAAATTTTATTGATATTTCTAGATAAAAAACTAAAAAAAAAATGAAAAATGAAAATGTCCCTAAACAGTTCAAAATAAATCAAAATATTTTGAAAATGTTATCGTGTATAGAAAATGCAAATATAAACAACCAGTGAAAATTTCATGTATCTACGGTAATTTGTTTTAAAGTTACACCAAAAACCAAATTCAATTTTCTGAAAAATCGATTTTGCGTAAAAATTCCCGTTTTTCCTTAATTTTTCTTTTGTTTTTCTTGGCGCTTTTGAAAAGTACTGGGAATTTTAAATTTTGACCTCCCCAATGCACCAACGATATTCACTTTCCAATCGAACAAGATACTGAAGTCAAAAATCGAAGCATTATTTCGACTACTTATCGTGTACACAGATACAAAAAAAATAAAAAAAAAAACACACATCATTGTAAAATCAATACATTCATCGTTTCACTCAGAATCTAAAATAACAAAATAAGAAAATTGAATAAATTATTTAATTATTTGAAATAAGAAATTTGTCATGCTAATTACTAAACTAATATAAGTAGGTAGGTACGAATACCAACTCCTTACACAATAGTATTGTGTTAATCAAACATAAACATATTTAAAATAATAAGTCAACTAAAAATATTTTTAACTGTATACAACAAACATTAATTATATCGTACATATTTTTCAGTGGGGGGGCTGGTGAGGGGGCTGATCTGTTTTCTTAGGGGGCTAGAGCCCCACCTTGCCCCCCCTTGGCGCCGTGCCTGGTTGCTATATGGGTAGGATTTGCTATGGGAGGTTGCTTGGTAGGATTTTGTATTAACTGATTATATTAATCCACCATAGTCCATAGGTGGAATACAACAAACTTGGTATAACTTTGATACTTTAGAGTTAAATCATACACTTACGTACAAACATCAAGGGGTCCACGATCTACCTGCGGTAGATTGCCTACCTGATAATATAC